TAGCTGTCTGACCCACCAGGTGTCAGGTATCAGGTATACCCCACTGAGTTTATGGCTGCCTTTATGAGCGCATTTGCTTTCAACTGTTGGTGTAATTCCAGGTCAACTGTGTTGTTATGAGCTCATGTTGTGTACAGACTGCGTGTCCTCACTCCAGTATTATCTTTCATCCGTGAAGTCATAAGGTTTTCAAATCTGGACATGTTCCAGTTTGTCTCGGTGGGCGCGGGTGTGTGTGTGTGAGTGTGTGTGTGTGTGTGTGTGTGCGTGTGTGTGCATGCGCATGGCTCAACATGTCCTGTGAGAAGAACCCTCAGCAGACCTGTTAAGACTGGACTCGGGGAGAACACATGAAGATCAGAGGAAGAGTCAAAGATTCACTTCTACACTTCTCACAGCTAAGTGAGGTTTCCAGACCTGACCGACCTGATGACTCGACCCACCAGATGGAAACATGTCAGTCAGGTGGATAACGGGTGCTATTTTTATCTAGTGCAGCTCCTGAAGGTGACTTTTACAGAACAGGGTACAAAGGAGTTCTTTCATCCGCTACTCTAATCCTGGGAAGCCTTTCTCTCTCTATCTATTGTTTCAAATAAATAATTTCAACAATCTACATTTGTGAATAAAATCTGGGTTTGCAAAACCATGCATTCTGTTTATTTTATTTTATTTATATTTCATATCATTTTGAACTTTTCCAGAAGTGGAGCTGTAAAACAAGAAGACGTGACAAAATCTGTAGCTGTTTGCAGAGAAGTTATGTTGCTCAAATTTTATGAAAACGTTTCAAAGGAAAAAAGTTAGAGAGCAGGAGACTCACACCAGGAAGTTGAGAACACTTCTGATTGGACCAGGCCAGGGTCAGCTGACTGACCTTGGAGGGTCAGTGAGGAGTAAACACTTTCACCTACAGTGTGTGTGTGTGTGTGTGTGTGTGTGTGTGTGTGTGTGTGTGTGTGTGTGGGTTTCTAGATGAACATATGTTGTTTTAACCATTATAGTTTACCATAACTGGACTAGATCAGTTTGTCAAGATCTACTTTGAATTGCTTATAGCAGGCAAAATAAAAAAGGTGTATTGTGTCAACCGATTTCCACATCCAACTAATATTGCGAAAACAAGCATTTTTATCTTCTTTCAGTTGAAAACGGAAGAAAAACAATAAAGACGTGTTGCAGCTAAAAGCGACACCGCTCACTTACACCTAGCAGAGTACCTGCATGTTTGAACAGGTAAAAGGAAAGTGAGAACTTATCGACTCACCCCGACCCCTCCCTCTCAGGCTCATATTTCCAGGATGCTAGCTCTGAGAGTAAAAAAAATTATAACAAATTATTAACTTGTCCTCTTAACAATCAGCTCCGCCAACAGGATGACAGATGTTTGCAGCTTATCAGCACGAGTCATCATATATTGCTAGAAACAAACCTTTGATTGACGCATTGTTAAGAGAGTCGAACAAAGAGCGCTTGAACAACCGAAGTGAGGACAACTTGTTCAGTGTCACTTCAAGGTGTCAAAAATCAMATTTTTCTTATTGCATGATTTCTACTTTTAGTTGACAGCTTGTGCCTTTAAAAACTGAACAGGATTGTGTTATTTAAGAAAGATTAGATYATAGTGATTACAGTAAAACAATAAGACTTTATATCTGTCTTTATACTATTTTTACTGCAAAGCTGAAAAACAAAAAAGCTGAAGATATTTGTTGCACAGTCTGCAGTCTTTGTGTTTTTGTATTGTCTGAAAATATTGTACAGCAGTGCTGTAGTTATAAATGTAACCATGTCTCAGGGAAGCAAAGAAATGAGTTTTTCTATTATTTCCATTGTTGCCAGAGATACCATTCACTTCCCCCTCTTCTTCATTTTCACCACAGTTTGTGGTTTTAATCCAAGGTTTAATTGGTGTTTGGTTGTAATTAATTCTTCCATTGAATTACTGACCTGCCCTAAGATGTTAGCATGTGATACAAGCAGAATTCACTCAAGCTGCACAAAATCCAACCAGATTACAAAAGACAAAAAACATTCTAGAATCTATTTTAACAATATAAGAGTGGCGATTCTAGGATTTTTCTGAGTCAGGGGCCACAGTATTCATAGAGGGGCCAAGTATTTGTTCAACATCCCTGCACACAAATCTCTGGTTTCAGTAAGGTTGCATTTAACCAGGCACACTTGAAATGTGGTGGGCAGCACTAACTTAAAAAATTAGTTCCAATAGCCCTAAAACAATAACTCAAATATTTAGGTACCCTAATTCTAAAGCAGTAACGCAATGAAAGTTTTAACAAAAACTAACAACCCAGTCAACCCATGAACATTCTTCAACAGACAACATGAGTCACATATTGTCATGTTGCTCTCTTGATACTTATCATTGACATTCCACACCCGTATTTGAGTTCATATATTGTCAATATATTGTCTCCTAGTGGATAAGTGATACACATATGAACCAAATGTGTGACAGCTTTCACCTTCAGCTGTTAACATTAACTTTGATCAATAACATTTAAAGGGATCCCTGATTAGTTCTAACATTAGACTTTATTTGATAAACATATTTTAACTGTAAAACAAAGACTGTAAAAATAC